GCTCTTGGCTGAATCGCTCAGCACTTGAACGGTGCAGGCTCAAGCCTGAGTGTGACTTCAAGGCCCTGGGAAGGATCCTTGAGTGGGGCGGGCTCGGTGGACGGCGGCTCCAGCAGGGGGCGCGCTCTCCTAGCAGGATTTCCACGAGAGGTGATGGGGCCGGAAGGGTTTTGCTCTTGCAATGGGCTGAAGCCACTCATGGGCTCATGAGCAATCTCAAAAGCTTTGTCAAAGCCAGCTGGGCATCGTGCCCTTCTGCCCCTGCCCTGCCCTGGCATGCTCACGCCCTAAATGACCCCAGGACTGTAGCCCAGGGTCCCTACCTCTGGAACCATGAGCACCCACGCTGTGGTATCTAGCCACTGAAAAGGGCGAAGGCTTCCAGTTCACCAAGATTCTCACCAGCACAAACCGGGCTTCCTGTAGGTGGTGTCTCCGACAACGCGCTGGCAATCGATGTTGGTAGCAAGTTCTGGTGGAGGCCAGTGCTTGTAGGGCCTGGCTGTTGCCTTCAGTGTCCGCTTAAATCCTCTCTCTTCCAGCTTGGTGACTTAGGGCAAACTTCCCTTCTCTTCTTTTCTCCCTTCAAAAACAAATAAAGGTTGCTGGTAAGGGTTGAGCGGGAGAATTATCCGAAGAGGAGACGGACTCGCGAAGTCTGCCTTTGTCTTTCTAGACCCAAGGCTGACCCCACCGGCCAGCTCTGCGTGTGGCTGGGTGGGGCCGGCTCTTGTCCAAAAAATGAGGGGCTGTTGGTGTGGCAGTGTTTAGTTACTGTCTGTCGCACCCGCAGCCTGTATGGACACTGGTTCGAGTCCCAGCTGCTTCCCATGTCTAATAACACATGTGGGAGGACGAGTGTCAGCCCCAGCTACCCACGTGGGAGACCAGGAGCCAGGAGCCAGGAGCCAGCACCTCCTCTGCAGGTGTCAAGGGCCCAAGGACCTGAGCCATCCTGCGTTGCTTTCCCAGGCCATTGGTAGGGAGCTGGATAGGAAATGGAACAGCCAGGATTTGAACTGGTGCTCACAGGGGAGGCAGGTGTCCCAGGCTATGACTTCAACTGCTGGTCTTCCACACTACCTTCCGTTCTCTGTATTTGAAGCTGCTTCTCTTCTGGGTCTCTGCCCCAGCTGGTGGTCCTAGAATAACCCCAACGAGTGGCCCTCCCATCAGAAGCCACACCCAGTCGTCCAAATCCGATTTCCTGGGTCACTGGGTGCATGTGAGACCCGTTAAAGGACTTCAGAGTCTGCCACTCCCTGCAGCCAAGGCTGTCAGATTGAAGATCTGGGGTCGCTGTTCTTTGCCTACTTATAACCATGTCTCTCTGTAGTCTGTTTGGAAAAGTTTTTGGCTTTAATATTTAAGTGGGATCCTGTGGGGAGGCCGGCTAATCTCCCTCCTTAGGGATCTTACTTCTCAATGCTCCTCCAGAAAAATGGTGTGCCCCCTAGCGGTTGCTTTCTCCACTTACAGGTCAGTAGGTGCAAGGCATGAATGCCCACCAGGGTGAGTGGGGTGCTGGCCACTAGAGCTTGCTGCAATGGTTGCGTGAGTGAAGCGATTTTTAAAAAGCTATCATTTTATTTATTTATTTTTTACTGGAAAAGCAGATCAGAGTTACAGAGAGAAGGAGAGCCAGAGAAAAAAAATCTTCCATCCACTTGCTGGTTTTTTCCCCAAGCAGCCACACTGGCCAGAGATGAGCCAATCTGAAATCAGGAGCCAGGAGCTTCTTCCAGGTCTCCCACGCAGGTGCAGGGTCCCAAGGCTTTGGGCCATCCTCGACTGCTTTTCCAGGCCACAAGCAGGGAGCTGGATGGGAAGTGGGGCAGCCGGGATATGAGCCAACACCCATATAGGATCCTGGTGCACGCAAGGTGAGGATTTAGTCACCAGATCCTAGATAATTTTCAAATTTAATTAATTAAATTTATTTTAAAGGCAGAGAATAAGACAATGAAAAAAAAATAGAGAGAGAGAGAGAAATCTCCCATTTGGAGATTTGCTCCTCACATAGCCACAACAGTCATGGCTGGGCAGGGCCAGAGTCGGGAGCCAGGGACTCAAGCCAGATCTCCCACCTGGATGGTAGGACCCCAAGTCCTTGAACCGTTACTGCATTAGCAGGAAGCTGGGACTAGAAGTGGAACCAGGACTCAACCACTCTGACACCGTAACTGCCATGCCCATGCCCGCCTGTGCCAGCACACTTCAAGTACTGCAGTGCAAGACCAGGCCAGGGAAGATTCCTGCTGGGCTTTTTGTTAGTTTTAGTTGATCACATGGAAGCACAGCAATCCACACGAACAGTGCCCAGTGCATTTCAGCCACATGCACGTCCCTGTGACAGCATCATCACACAGTGACATCTGTCTCCCCCTCAAAGGGTCCCTAGTGCCATCACCAGACCAACCCCAGCCTCATCCCCAATCACGGATCCATCTTCCCCACTGTGCGCATGCTCCAGGCTATCCTAGGAACAACACCACACAGAGCCCTGGCTCTCTTGGGCTTTTACACTCAGTGTAGCTGACAGCCAAGTGTGCTGCACACACGGCCAGTCGCCAGTGGCTGGCCCTGTCCGGCAGCGGAGGGCCGAGTGTAAGGGGCAGTGGACAGCAGTGGCTCTCAGTGCAGACACACCCTCGTGTCACCTGGTGAAGCGGCTTGCTCATGCAGCCAGGGTATGTGAATTTCACTCCCTAAGTGGCTGAACTGGGGCAGGCACTGGCCACAGCAGGGAAGATCCCACCTAGGACCCCCACACACCATATCTGAGTCCTGGCTCCCTTTGCAATTCCAGCTTCTTGCTAGTGGGCACTCTGGAAGGGAGAAGAGATGAGGGCTCTGGGACCTGGGGCCCTGCCATACACTGGTAAGACCCTGAGGGAGTTCAGCTCTCCTGGCTGCTGTGATGGAAGAGTGTTGCTCTCTGTCTCAGAGCTGGTGTTGTGGATCTGTGGGTTAAGCTGCCACTGGAGCACCAAGTCCCAGCTGCTATGCTTGCCATTCAGCGCTCGAGGCCCTGGATGGAGCTCTAAGCTCCTGGCTTCGGACTGGCTCAGTGCTGACAGTGCGTCTCTGCCTTTCTTCTTAAAATTTGTTTTTCATTGGAAAGCTAGATTTCCAGAGGAGACAGAAGTTCCATCCGCTGGTTCACTCCCTAAGTGGCTGCAACGGCCATAGCTGAGCCGACCCAGAGCCAGGAGCAGGAGCTTCTGCCAGGTCTCCCACGCGGGTGCAGGGTAACAAGGCCTTGGGCCGTCCTCGACTGCTTTTCCAGGCCACAAGCAGGGAGCTGAGTGGGGAGTGGAGCAGCCAGGACACAAACCTGGCACCTGTATGGGATCTTGGCGATTATAAGGCAAGGGGCTGTCAGCGTTGCAGCTGCCTCTTGTTCAGGGGCCCCGCTTCTTATGAGCAGACAGGGAAAAGATGTCTTCAGCTAAGCCAACTTGCTCGGCGTCCGCTGGCTTCCCTCAGTCCCGATGCTAAGAGCACCTTCTTCCCCATCACTTTAACCTGGAATGGACCTCCCCTCAACCTTGGCATCACTCCTGGGTTCATCACCTGGGCAAACAGACACACGGCTCCACCATTTTCTGTCCTTAAATGTCGACGGCTATTACCCCTTCCAGCAGTTGTTTAGCAACCGCCCTCTGATGCGATGGATCATGCAGTATCGGAGGCTGGGAGCTCCCACCTGCTGGTTCACTTCCCGAATGCCTGCCTGGAGCCAGGACAAAACTAGGAGTCAGCAACTCCACCTGAGTGTGTGTGTGTGTGGCAAGGACCCAAGCTCTGGCAGCCTCCCCTGCAGCCTGCTGGGCTGTGCACTCAGAGGAAGCAGAGGTGGGACTCACACACACCCGGGTGCTGACACAGGAGGATGTGTGGGCCCACCTAGTAAGAAGTAAGCCCTGCTAGTCCTGCCTGCTTCCTGAAGGCTCACACAGGGAGAGGGCAGATGCCCACTCTGGAAGGTAGCAGTGGACTCCAGAAGGTAGGGAGGGTGGACGCTGGCAGGCCGGAGGCGGGGAGTTCAGTGGGGTGGGCCTTGAAGCCGGGACTGTCACAGGGTTCTGCTGCAGGCGCTGGCCCTGAGACACGTTCAGGAAGTCTCCTGCAGGGATGGTCACTCAGGGTCTGGAGCTACCAGAGCATGCCGAGAGGAGCAGGCAAAAATCAAAACCACTTCAAAAAAGTTTTTTTTTTTTTTAATCAAACACCTTTTATTTCCACGTAACAAGCGCAAAAAACTCCCAAACACTTTTAACAATACAATTAACGCAGTCATGAAGTCAATTATATACTACTCGAAGCCCCAAAAGGTCGATCAAGCTTAACGTTCCAAACATCTCCAGACATGGTTTTTCAAAGCTACCTTTGGTTTTTGGAAAAACCAGTATGGAAGTCAATATACATTGTATGCATTGAACAACATTTTGCTTCTATGAGTGAAGGTGTCCAACAACATTAGCTTACACCTGGCCAGTTGGGGCGTGATCTGAAGCCATACACTGAAGTACACACACAGGTTGGGTGACCCGGGAGCCTCTGCGGTGAGAGGCGAGGGCCGCGGGGGGAAGAAGGCCAGTCCAGGCTGTGGCATTCCGCGTGTCGTAACAGAGGTATGAGAGTTTAACACTAGTACACTGTCAAGTCATTAAGCTTCATGTTCCAAATGGTCTCTTGCTGAGGCTTGAGATGGGCACAGACGGTGGGGAAGATGGAGTCACAGGAGAGTTTTGAGCAACCAGATGCTAGAGATGCTCAGAGGGTAGGGAGGAGCAAGCTACAGTTTCCCATTTTTTCTCACATTGTTTCAGGGTGAAATGGTGGAGAAGTTCAGATAAAAGGTTCAAATATTTGCTTAGATTTTTTTTTTTTTTAAATCGGTTGCTCTATGAGAACCCTCATACATATAGCAACTTTGAAACTTTCATTATAAAAAAGAGCCTACAAATAAATTCACAAAAAAGAGACAATTAATGTTGAGCAGCCAAAAAAGTCATGGTTTATTATATCTGAAGAAATTTCATAATTCAAACACAACCAAACTGTACATTTTACAATCACATTCTATTTGTAAACAGTTAAAAGCCACTGACTTCTTTTGCATCTTAGGACACAAACAGTTAGAATCAAGGCAATGAAATGATGGCAAATTGTGTACTGTTAAAACTTTTACCCTTGTTTAGTCTCTCTTCTTTGACTAAGCAAGCATTATAATACCATTTGTGGGCAAAAAAGGGGCTGGGCGGCGGGGGGGTGGGGGGTGGGGGGAGAAATTTAAAAATGGTGTAACTCGTTAGTTTTGCAACAACATTTAAAATTTTCTTTATACAACAAACAACTCTGTAAGCCCAATGCCTTGGTTACAGTATGCATAGTTACTGATTTCGGCTTTAAGGAACAACAGTTAGACAGGAACACAGTCACGAGAGCAGAAACAGAGAGCCACTTGATGGGGTTACAAAAATGATCATCTACCGATTATCAGCAAACCATCATCACTCACTAATAAAAAGACAGCATCGGAAAGCGGGATGTCCAACTCCAGCTTTAAGCGTTTTTTTTTTTTTTTTCCTGGCTTTTTTTTTGTCTTTTTTTTTTTTTTGGCAGAGAAAATTCTTTAACAGAGCTCTATGTAGTATCAGTGCTAAAAGTTGGGGTTTTCTTTTTTTTTTTCCTATAAGAAACTACAAGGAGGGGTTTTTTTTTTTTTTGTCTTTTTATTTATTTATTTTTTTTAACTGGGGAACTGGTTTTCCTGAGAACCACGCTCTTTGATTCAGGACAGGAATAGAAAACAAAAGAACATGGCCAAATGCTGCTCCTTTTGTCCCAGAGATAGAAAGCATCTTTTAAATCATCCTCCATTTTTTTTTTTTGTCTTTTAAAATTTTTTTAAATGATGGAAGAGTAAACATTTTTCTTCTTCTCAAAAACAAACAAAAAAATCTGTAAACAAGAAGATTCACCGTGGGAACCTTCAAAACAAAATGGAAAAGCCTATTCAAAGTGCAGGGCCCGTCCTGGGTGGCAGGTGGGCTGCGAGTCACAGCTGTGGCCACAGTTTTTCAAACTGCAGAGCGAAAATTCTTTAGTTTTACATGAGAAAAAAAAAAAAAAACTGGTGCAACACTTTCATTAATAAATCCTAAGTCAGTATCATAACTTGATCTTTTAAACTCCACGATAGCACAAGAAGGTAGGCGACGTCAAGGCATAGAGAGCACACACCTCTGAAGGACGTCCTTGAGTAAACATTTACACCGGAACAGCTGCCCCCCCATATTGCCGATTAGACGGACAGAACATCATTCAGTGCAAAGGTAAAAGCTCATACATTACCAGCCCAAAACACGGTTTTGCAAAGAAACTGAAAAAGGTCACAGAAAGAAGAAGAAAGGGGGGCGGGGGCGGTGGTGAGGAGAGGAGGAGGGAGAGGAGAAAGAAAGAACGCGAAGGCTTCAACATGATGGATACACACAAGTGAGCTCATCCGATACGGCTTAGAAGGTATGGCGCTATTTGGGAGTGTAAATAGATAGATACCTTTTCACATTATAATATTGGCCTGCATGATTCAAGTATTCAAACTGATATGTTTTGGGGAAAACAAAGTGGAAAATGTGCAGAGAATAGCTGTTCCCACAGGTGGCCCCTGGCTGCAGGCGGCGAGCCCAACTTTTTAGTGCTCCTTTCTTGCGCGTCTTGAGGTCACAGTTTGAGTCTACATCTACACCTTACATGGACTCTCCACCCCCACCCAGGTGGTCAACAGAAAGAAAAGCATTAATGGGGGATGGGCTGCTAATTCCTCGGGGGTCGCTGCTGCTTGGAGGACCCCACAGGCTTGTGGAATAATGGGGGGTCCCCCAGAGTGAAGTGCCGTGAAGGTCTCCACAGTTAGTTCCCGACAGCCCAGCACCATTCCAGTGATTGAGATCGGTCCGGCTGGAGAAGGAGTGGGAACAGTCGAGGGAGCCCAGCCGGCTCTGGCTGGACCCGAGAGACTGCCAGCCAGGAGAAGGGGTCAGAGACTGACTTTGTGCAAAGAAACGACTGATCTCCTCTTCACTGGCAAACTCAGCAAGAATAGTCGTGTTCCCCAGTACACACCTAGAGGAGAGAGGTACAGCCACGTGAGGGTGAGGGCACAGGGGGCTGCAGAGCGCACGGCGACGGCAGCGCCAGGGCCCAGGCTGTCAGCGACCCAACAGCTTGAGGGCGCGTCGGCAGCTCTGGGGCTGCGTGGCGCATGGCCTGGCTGTCCACAGCTCTCCCAGGTTGAGCCCAAAGTTAAAACTCGGCCAGAGTGCCAGCGAGGTGCGGACAGCTGATGCCCTGGCAGCACAGGAAGGGCACGCAGGGAGCCACTGCGACCAGGGCTGATTTCCTCCGAGAGCAAGGAGATGGGTCTCCAGTGCCCAGCGAGCAGCTGTTGTCAGATTCCCCGGGCCGCGCGTGCACACGCACGTCTCCCCTAACCCGTCCCAAAGGCAGGCGGGATGGTCAACTTACATGTGCAGAGACTTTTGTGCCTTCACTACCTCTTCCTTTGAACTGTAACGGACCAGGGCATTTCCATGTGGGAGGTTCAGGTGGAATGTGATCAGTGGGCCATGCTGCATGCACAGGGTACGCAGAGTTGAGCCATCAATCTAGGAGAGAGTGGGGATGGCCAGGAGTCGGCCTGAGGACCAGCTGGGCAAGCTGCCCCGGCTGCCCCTCTGCTCCCGGCTCTGTTCTTCGGTGGCACTCGCTGCTCGCATGGGAGCCAGCGGCCCTTCGCCTGCTCTGGTCCCAGCGCTGTACCTCTGGGCCACTGGGCTCCGGCACACCCCACACCCCCAAGACCTCCATCCCTTAGTCAGCCTCTGCTGTGGCTCCCTTGTGAAGAGGGAGGTAGGCCTTTAATGAAAATTCAACCTCCAGGGCCCATGGAAACACTCTCACTTCAAGGAGCAGAGGTGAGAGTGTCTGAGGCAGTGGTCAGGTTCCTGCCTGGGGCACTCAACAGAGGAGAACAGGTCCTTGCTGCCAGTGCATGGCCTGGGATAGACGGCAGCAGGTGACGGCTCGAGATATTAGATCCCCGTCACCCACACAGGAGTCCTGGGCTCCTGGATTTGGCCTGGCTCAGTTCTGGTTGTTGTGGGCATTTGGGAAGATCTGGCTTTCCCTTTCAAATAGGCAAAAACAAACAAACAAACAAAACCTAATAATAATAATAATAATAATAATAATAATAATAATAATAATAATAAGTAATAAAGAACAGACCAGGCTTCCTTAAAATGTAGCCCAAGCCACAATTACCTAAAGGCCCTTGTGAGACGACGCTGGTCTCCAGATCCCAGCCCTACGGGGCCAGGACCTGGATTCCAGGCTGGCCTTCACGCACACCTCAGCACAAGAGCTCTGTGTTATCCACACCAGTGCTTGATCACTCCTCTGTCCCTTCTTGAGTGCCACTCAAGGGCCCCAGTCTTACACAGACTGGAAGCCCCTGTTCCCACCCTCCCCGGAGTCCTCACCTGAGGTGTAAGGTTTTTTAGAACAAGCCAATTTGTTATTCTCCCTGAGCTGCTCTCACCCCAGCTGGAACCTAAACAAGGAAGAACAACACAAGTCAATTTCCCAGGACTGCAGCAGGACAAGCGCAGCACAGCCAGCTCCACGGTACACCTGTGAGAACCACTGCCACCCGCCCACCTCCTCCACCTGCTGCCCTGCACTTCACAGGGGACGTTTTCCTCCTTGGTCCAGACAGAGTGCTCATTCCAGTCTCCACCAGGCATCTGCTCCTGGCACAGTGGCTTTGCAGCAGATCTTGGGGAGTTCCAAGTGGCAGCAGTGAGAGGCTGCTTTGGGCCCTGAGGTCTGACAGACACCTGTACAGGTCTGTTGTGTGCACCTGTGTGCTGTGAAGCTGGAAGGGGCGGGCTCAGCTCTGGCACCAGGGCCCACTCTCCCCAGCAGCACCTCTGTTTAAACAGCACCCCTACACCTGGGCCAAGCTATCAGCGCACACACAGTCTCCAAGGGCTGGCTGGGTTGTTCCCATCTGCCCCAGCTGTGCCAACAGTGGCTTCTGCCCCACAGAGTCGAGTCTTGGGGTGCAGGCTGTCAGCACCATGAAGTTACTGCGCACTTACACAGCTCTGGAAAGGAGACCCACAATCCACTAATTCAATCGCTGACAGACAGCAATGTGGCTTCTGGCAAATGCTCTGACCTAATCATAAATCCGGCTCAGACTCTTCAAAGACCTGGAAACTACTGAAGACAGTGGGCATTGGGAACTGTATATTTCCGTTGTCATTTGGTGGAGCCAAGATAACAGGTCTCTCTGTCACAGGAGACCTGGACTGGCGCGCGTTCAGCGTGCACCCCACACACACACACACACACACACACACACACACACACACACACTCACCCTCCTCCCATGAAATCACCTCCCCCTTTACCTGGGGTGTATCTGGCGTCAGAATTTCCCCATCCTCCACCTACACGAAGGGGAGAATTATCCCACGTAGACAAGGGCGGCTTCTGACCAGTCAGTCCCGGTGGTGGGCGGGACGGAGCAGTGATGTTTTTAGGTGGCAAAGGGACTTTCCACAGCTCATGAGCCAGAGAGGTGTTTGTAACTGAACCAGGAGACCACGTCAATTTGGAATCACTATTTCTGGCTACTCAAAAAAAAAAAAAAAAAGAGGAATATTATTTACACAGGAGAACTTTCCATGATAGGAACAGCCCCCCCCCCCAATGAAAAGTGAACCAAGCTAACAAACAAAACTATTAAAAACTCCACATCAAACTAACTGCCAAAGAAGGAAAACCAGAAGCCCAAAGAAACGGTACCTTCCTTCAACATGTGCAGGCCAGGCACCTGTGAGCAAGGGTCTGAAGGTCCAGGGGCTCCTCAGACCAGCACACAAAGCTATACTCCAACCAAAACTACAGCACTGCTTTGAACTGCGTCACAGCAGCAAGTGTGAACCCCTTACCGTAATAATCGTAACTGTGCCACTCAAGACAGCGACTTAGGACACTGAACACATTTGTGAACTTGGGTGTTTACTTAAGGAAAAATTACGGCAGGGCTGCCCAGCCTGGGGCTCACTCTGAGCAGGTGTTCACCAAGGCCTGTCTCTCCCTGGCAAGCAAGGCACAGGCTGCTGGCCCTGGGTCTGGCCATCTCTGACCCTGGTGTACAGTCTACGCAGAGTCAGAGAGCTGAAGCCATTTGTTCACAGGCCCAATGTAGAGCCAGGAGTCATTCCTAAGCTTGCCAGACTTTGAAACAAGGTAGGTGTGTGTGTGTGGGTGTGTGTGTGTGTGTGTGTGTGTGGGTGTGTGTGTGTGTGTGGGTGGGTGTGTGTGTGTGTGTGTGTGTGTGTGTGTGATGGGTGGGAGGGAAAGGAAAAACGAGAAGAAACAAAAGCAACCAGGCTGCTGGGCATGTTGAAGAGGTGGCGCTCAATAAAGCAAAGCAAAGAGAATGTTAAGAAACACAGGGCACAGAGAGGGATGGACAACCCTCCATCCTACTTCCCCATTCTTTCTTCCTGGCTTACGAAGCATGCGCTTGTTGGGCCAGCATTATCCTAACTGTGGTCAGTAGCCCGGCCACAAGGGTCTGCTTCTGCCTTGCAACAGAACAAGGAGGGCGGTCTGCAGTGGGTAATTACGAGCTTCCACATCAGTCTGACTCTGTCATAACTACGCAATCCTTTTCTAGCAATCCAAGACTCGTCTGTTGCCTTTTAGAAACTACAGTTACAATAAAAGTAAAAGGAACCAAGGTCCTTCACTACGGAGTGTTTGGAAGCCACTCCGGCAATGGAGCAGAGATGGCTTTCAGGGAAGCAAGAGTTGATTCTTTTGGCCAATGATAGCTAGGTACAACAAACATAAAAAGGAACAAATGACGTGATATTTTGCAGGTTCGCAAAGCCACCTAATTCTCTGAAAGAAAGGCTCTAGATACAAAGAGCAGAGCAAGCTTCCCAAGACGGACCCTGGTCGGTCCAGGTCAGGCCTACCTGAAGTGCTTTGTGCTGTACTGCTGAGGGGAACGTTGTAGTTGGAGGCACGAATGGATGACCAGGCACTAGTTGAAGGCAGCGTGGTGTTCAAGGATGAGGATGACCCTGCACGGAGGAGGAGTCCATTTAGCCAAGGCACAGGAGTGCAGCAGTATGAACAAGACAAGGGGACAGGCCGGCCCCTGGTCACGGCTGGTGCACACGGCAGCTCCTGCTGCCTCCCAAAGCACAGCCATCAGGCCCGCCTAGGCCATTCCCTTGGGCTCGGGTCAGGTCTCCAGCATGCCCGATCCCAGCTACCCTGTCCTGGGCATTACTGGCGTGCCAGGCCTTCTCCAGCGTGGTCCACATGACGGCTCTGACTCCCACCCTTTGTCTCACAAAGAAAAACAACTCCCCGTTTTTCTATTCAGTCCTCAACTCCAGCATCTCCACAGCGCCCTGACTGCTGCTTTAGTGGTTTCTCAATCCCAGGATAGCCCCAGTATGCCCACGTACCACTGTTCCTGTCCCTGAGGTGGTCAACTTCCCGCACAGTATTAATTGAAAGATTGTTTATGACACTGCCAGGAGTGACGTAAGGGTCAGTTTCGGGGTCAATGTTTGGATAACCTTTCCATGGTTCACCAGGGCGAAATTCTGGAAATGGAAACAAAATAAGTTTAAGGCTTAATCATTTAAAACTCCATTATTAGACATTCAAGAATATTTATTTCAAAATCGTAGCAATTCTTAAATATTTCCCAATTTACACTAAAATCTTAACATGTTGGTTCGGTAATACAGCCTTTATAGTGCAGATTATTCTCTATGAACAATATTAACATTTTCCCTAACGGAAAACTTTCTGTACTGTGTGTGTGGCTATTATTTGAAAGGCAGAGTGTCGGAGAGGGAGAGCGCTTCTATCTGCTGGTTCACCCCCAAAATGGCTACCACGGCCAAGGCTGGACCAGGCCAGGTAACTGGAACTGCACTGGGGTCTCCCGTGCGGGCGGCAGGGGTCTTGGCCCTTGAGCTGTGATTGCTGCCTCAGGGGCGCTGGCAGGGAGTGGAGCATGTGGGAAGTCGCACAGGACGCTGCTGCCCCAAAGCAATATCCAAGGCTGTGTCTGTGAATGTGCAATTCAGCCGCTTTCCCCGCAGACATGTACAAACTGCACTCGTTAAGGGGCAGGCATATGCATTATTTTATAGTGCTTTACAATAAATTATAAACCACAGCAGCTCAAAGTCAGACAAAGAGGGCTATATACACATTTGTGGCAATCCTTCAGTATAACTGATAATAAAGTCAAGTTTGGTTGAAAAGAAATAAAGAAGACTTTTATGTGATTCTTCACACAGGTCAATGGACTCATCCTGCTGTCACTGCTTGGAGCGAGGACATGGGCAGCAGTGGCGCACACTCACTTTCAGCAGACTTTACGGTCAATTTTCCCTTTATCATACAACCTAGCTTCTTTTCAGCCACGTGGAATTAGATTATATCAACAGAGAATAAGCCTGGATGTCTCAACGCTTTGTTAGAATCACAGTTTCAGGAGCTGATTTGTGTGCAGGCTGCTCCACTTCCTATCTAGCTCTCTGCTTGTGGCCTGGGAAAGCAGTGGGGGGTGACCCAAAGCCTCGGCACCCTGCACCCGCCGTGGAGAACCGGCCACTGCTGTCATTTGGGGAGTGAATCAACGGATCAAAGATCAATTGTTTCTTCTGTGAATCTGCCTCTCAAAAAGAAGAAAGAAAGAGAAAGAAAGGGAGACTGAGAGGAGAGAGAGAGAAAAAGAGAAAGGATGGATCACAGCTGGAGAGAGCTGCCGGCATGGTACCTGGTGGCCAGTTAACACTGCTAGAGCCATTAGGCGATTTGGCACGGGGCCAGCCATCTCCTATTGAACCTGGAGGACTGGCTGGTGAAGTACTGCTGTTCATAAAGTCGTAGGGAACAAATGGAGACTCTTCCAGCCGGAAACCACTTGAAATAGCACCTGAAAAAAAGAGAAGCAGCAATGAGCAAACACATGGCCACATTTAGGTCTGTGGGTCACGGAAGGGACAGAGTTAGTCTATAAGCATGCCGACACTCTTCCTGACATTCCAATACCCCACCCTGAAGGATCCTGGGAATGACCTTGCCTCCGTAAATCTGCCTTTCAAGTAAAAATAAATACTAGTGAGGCTTCAGTTTAGAACACAAATGGCTCTCCCGGCTCCTGCCTCTCTCTTACTCAGAAGTCCTCTTCACTCTGCTTCCTTCAGCGCTCCTGGCAATGACGCCACCGGGCCAGGTTACTGTCAACTCACCTGGCTGGGCTCCGCATTACATAAAGCAAGCTTCCCACCCCATCTTCACATTTACAGCTAGAGGAATCTTTGTTAAAAAAGAAACCCCACAAATCCAATCCTATAACTTCCTATCCTGAAGCTCTTCAACATCTTTATATCCCACAGTTTCCAATTTTCTAGCATCTACCTCCACCGCCCTTCTTTGTAGCCCTACCTCCAGAGGCACCCGGACCCAGAATGCCCCGGGCTGTCCTCTTTCCACTGTGCACACCTCACCTTCTCCTGGGTACATGAAGATTCAGCCCAAGCTGAGAGTATTTACAAAGCCCATACTACTCAGACTGATTCCTGACTCGATATGCGTATGTCTTCTTATATTATTGAACTATTAGCATTGATTTTTAAGAAACTATTTATACATTTGCAAACTTACTTATTAACAGTCATAATTACACAGTGGGAGGAAAAAACCAAGCTCTTCTACCTGTCAATGGCTGAGTTGGGCTGCACCAGGAAGCTGGGAGCTTCATCTGGGTCTCCCCACTCGCAGGCAAGGTCACAAGCACCTGGACCATCTTACGCTGCTCTCCAGGTTACAAACTCACACCCATTTGGGATGCTGGCATCAGAGGCTTTACCCACTACACTGCAACACCAGTCCAAGCACTATCTTCTATAACTCTTATCACACTGCACAAAAGCTTTACTTTGCTAACAACTTGTTCCTCAAGTGCAAATCATTTGATATAAACACACACACACACATTTTCACATAACATACATACATTTAAATGTAAGTACATATGCACACACAAATTCCAGGCACCCAGTACAGTTTCTGGAGAGCAGGACAGTCAATTCATACTTCCTGAATGAATGGGTAATATGAAGCAAAATGAGAACAGTATTTCTAAAAAAGTTTTGAGGAGACTATCTTTGGCTTAACAGTTAAGATGCTGTTAAGGGGGCAGGGGGATGGGGAGAGCCTGTCACTATGGCTCAACTGGCTGATCCTCCACCTTGCAAGTGCCAGATCCCTTATGAATGCTGGTTTGTGTCCTGGCTGCTCCACTTCCCATCCAGCTCCCTGTTTGTGGCTTGCAAAAGCAGTAGAGGACGGCCCAAAGCCTCGGGACCCTGCATCTGCATGGGAGACCTGGAAGAAGCTCCTGGCTCCTGGCTTCAGACCAGCTCAGTTCTGGCCGTTGCGGCCACTTAGGGAGTGAGCCAGCAGATGGAAGATTGCTATCTCTCTTTCCTTTGCTCTGTAGGAATGCTTTCCAAATAAACTAAATGTTTAAAAAAAAAAAAAATAAGATGCCGAGTGGGACACCCGTGTTTTATACTGCACTGCTTGGGTTCCAAGTCTTGGTTCAGTTTCTGATTCTAGCTTCCTGCCAAGGTACATTCTGGAAGGATGGGGGTGTTGCCGCCTGGGAAACCAAAACGGAGCTTTAGGATCCTGTCCCGGCCCTGGCCCAGAGCCACTGCTACTGCAGCCACCTGGGGAGTCAATGAGTGAATGAAAGATTTCTGTCTCTTTTCTCTCTTTCAAGTAAATTAAAATGAAAAAATTTCAATTTAACTATTGAGAAGGCAATATTAAAACCATGTGATATGTGATACAGGAAAAAAATATGCAAAGAAAATGTGTCAAAGTGAAAGAAATTGGCAAAAATGAAAACTAGGGTTTATTTTTTTAATACTACACTGAGAAAATGTTAGTAAGAACGTAGGAACAATGGATTCACTTAGGGAAAAACCTGGACTGGGGCTGGCACTGTGACACAGCTTGCTAAGCCTCCATCTGCAGTGCTGGCTTGGAATGTGGATGCCAGTTCAAATCTCAGCTGTTCTATTTCTGATCTGGCTCCATCTGCCTGCAAGAGTAACAGAGGCTGGCACAAGTGTCTGGGCACCTGCACCCACACGGGAGACCCAGAAGAAGCTCCTGGCTCCCAGCTCTGGACATTTTGCACATTTGGGGAATGGACCTATGCATGGAAAATCTCTACCTTTTAAATAGAAGTTTACTAAATAAACAAAAAACAAATACTAGATGGTCAAAAGGGGAGTTTTTTTTGTTTGTTTTGTTAAGGGTTTATTTTGAGGATGACATCTTCCGATACGCTGGCTCACCCTGCAAATGGCACCATGACCACAGATGAGCTGCTTTCCAGACTGCCCACATGGGCATCTGCTTTAATGTGCACCCAGCAGGGAGCTTGGATTACAAGTGCAGCAGCCAGGACACTCACCAGCACCCACACGTGACGCCGGCACTAATGGCACAGGGTCAGACTGCACAGCACTACGCCGGCTCCAAGGGAAGTACTTTTTAAAAATGCATCATCTGATTTCTCTTTGCAGAGCAGTACGATACGGTAGTTTACTTTTTATTTTTATTCACAGAACGTGACTTTTAAAACGAATCTTTATTTTCTTTCACTTGCTGGTTTGCTACCCAAATACCTACGGAAGCCAGGGCTCGGCTAGGTCAAAGTCAGGAGGTCAATGTCGTTCTCTCCTGTGAGGGCAGAGCCCAGTTACCTGAGCCATCACCTGCTCTTCCTGTGCAATGAGCAGGAAGCTGGACTGCAAGCAGTGGACCTGTCTAAGGTGGCGTGCAGAGCAGTAACTGAACTGCCAAACAGCCATCCTAAAATACTTTCTAAAATGAGACATAGATCCAAAATAGGCTAAGATTTGATTACTATTCTACATTTTTTTTTTTTTAAAAAAATGAAACCACAGGCATGTTTTGCATACCATGTTTGCTGGAGTTTTGATCCAAAGATGTGTTCACAGAAATGCTGTCCACTGCCGTCCACTTCCTTAGTCGTGACTGTGGCTCTTTAATACTGTTCATATCCATATTTACATTCAAGTTTGAGTTCAAGCCTTAAAAATAAAGAAGCATTATTTATAAGAGAGATCCCCTTTTTGCTTTTGGTGGCATAACTTCTGTTTTCCAGAAACACATGTATAATTAATGTTTTCAATTCTACTTAATGTTCCTAAACTGCCATCACAATGCACACCTGACCTGGCCGAGTAATGAAGGCAAGGAAGGCCAGGGGAGACACAGGGGAGACACAGGGAAGCACTTAGGACCCGGGCTCGGGTCGGCTCAGTGCCGGCTGCTGTGGCCATTCGAGCAGTGAACTCTCTCCCTCCGCCCTGTGACTCTGCCTTTAGCACCCTGGCCAGAGGAACCCACCTATAGGGAAGTTGCTGAAAGCATTTATTGGTGATGGCCCTTTTTGCAGCTCAGGTGTAGTGTGGGGCATGACGTTGTCCAGGAAAGACTTCATGGCTGGTTGATGGAGTGACTGCTGCTGTGACGACGGAGTCTGTTGTTTCACCAGCAGGTTTGGATCAAGCTGACGAGACTGCTGCATCATTTGTTGCTGCACGCTAAGAGGTCGACCCTTCAAACAACAAACCATTGGAGAAAACTGTGGGAAAAAGAGCCTTCACACAGACGCAACATTGTATATTTGCATTCATTTTCTTCTTAGTTAGAAGGTAAAGCATCACAAGGAAACAGTTAATACGCCACACAGACCAATAGAAGGCTTGGCAAACACCGTATTTTATCAGATTTTGATAAACGGACATAGCACATTTCTTGTTACAATGGAAGTGATACTAATGGAGTTGGTTAATGAGAAAGCCAGCACTGCAGGCGCAGGATCTGCTGTACCTGCTGGTCTTGCTGCTGCCGGTTACCAGAAGGCACGCTTCTCTGACTCTGCGCCCTTTGCTGCTGTGCTAACAATCGCTGCAGAGAAGAGGGCAAAGAGACTGTCACTAGCACGCCATGACCCGTGAGGACGCTTCGCAGGACTGTGGCCCAGGGAGCCCCGGATGCATGCCCCGCTCTGTCTGCGTTCTGTTTGATCTAAGCCTTCCCCTCAACAGGTCAGCTTTTCCTCATCACCCCGCCCCGGCTTTAACCCAGCTCGGCCTCCTCCCCTGGAACCCGGGACCTCTCCAGAATGCTCCTTCCACAAGCCTGTTCAATCCGTCTTCATCCACTTCAAGCCTCACGGGGGGGTCATGACCTGTTGCATTTACTGCAGCACTTTCTCCACAGAGTCTAGTGTGACTGTCTGGCACACACTTGTGCACTATGTAAGACTATTCTACCTACCTGTAACTGGGAGATTTGAGAAAGCTGGTTTAGTTGGGATAGCTGGTTCAGCATGGCTACCTGCTGAGGGCCAAAGAGCGGATTCAGGCCACCGTTGTTTGGTGCATACTTCAGCAATGAAACTGGAACCTAACGACACAATGATGAGTTAGACACGTTGATGGAAGTACCTGAAAATCAGCCCCATGCATAACATGTTTACAATGATCAATAGAGCAATTAAATTTGTGAGAATTCATTGGGGGGAATTATAGTCTTTCTCTTACTATCACTCACATACACCTTTTCTTATGTAAAAGACAACAGAATTAATCTTAAACTGGTCAGTTTGGCTCTTACCCTCATCCCAAGACATTTAATAGAGAAAAAAAAAAAACACAGTAGATTTTTAGGCTTAAATTACCCTTGACCCACTTTCTTCACCAGCCCCATATTCTTTTGTAACAGGTGCATCTACAAGATCCCAATAAGTATTATGACGCTCACTAGTCATCTCATTCCAATATAAAATTATTCAACGTTCTTTTGTGGGAACCTTGTAGAGAATGGACACTCACCTGAGGGGAGAGTAATGGAGGAGGCACTTGAGCACGGAGATTAGGCTGAGATGAGCTAAGAGGTTGTGCTGGAGGCTGCTGCATGCCCCGGGGTTGTGCTGCTGTGTTTCCAACACCAAACATACTGGGATTGCCATTCTACAAAAAACAGTTTTATAACAATGAGTTCTTTAAGGACCAATGATGCATTACCAATTGTACTATTGATTAAAACACAATAACTACACGTAAGAGATCTTATTACTAGTACAAATCATTCAACAGAGAGCCTCAAGTATACATCTGGACTTACCTGTCTAACAGAATTCAAGTTTTGCATACCCAGCCCTGCTATGGAGCCAAGGGCCTGGTTAGGTAGTGCACTATTTGAAGGGGGGAGCTTCATGCTTTGACTGGACATAAACTGCATGTTTTGGGGTTCATCTGCTACAATGCCATCCTGATTGGACAGACAGAAAGATGTGCAACACCAGCCAAGCAGACAAGCGGAAGGGAGAAATCATTGCAGGAACAGAAGAGAAGTCACATGACATTCCAGCATCAACAGGAAACAGGTAGAAAACAGAAGAGATCAGATTAGTGTGGATTTAGAATACATACAAAGAGCCAAACATATTTTATGGAATTACGAAGAAAATTTCAATGCAACTTCTATACTAAATTGAGACATAAAAAGACAACAAACTGTAAATTTAGTAATAGGATGCACTGGGTTATAACACTATACATTATATTAAATTGTTCTAAAACATTGGTGTGAAGATTATGGCTACTAACTTTACTAGTTGATTAGTCAGAGTTAAAAGAGAAACACTTACCTTATCAAAATAAGGACTGCGCTCCATGGAAGACTCTTTGGAAACCTGAGGCCGAGAACCAGGGCCTTTCCCGACCGTTCGATTGTAATCACCAATATTTAGGCTATGTTTATCTATCTCCATTCGTTTCTCTTGTAACATTCCTAATGAACAGAAGACTTTATTACCAATCGTGAGGACAACCCAGTCAATACAAATAGAATCCTCTCTTGAAGGCCGGCAGCCCTCGCCTCCTCTGCCCTTGGAAGAGGCCTCCCTGTTCCCTGAGACGCCCAGGCTGACCAGCTTGCTCACTTGTGTCTCTTTCCATCCACTCTTGGAATCGACTCCAACCAGTGTTTCTTCAAATCCTCTTTCCAAGCCATTCTTTTCTACTTGGCCCTGTTACTGTTGCCAGTGTAGAGTGTGCATCATCTTTCCCAACACTTGCTCTTCCTTTTAGAAGCCAACGGAGTAGCAAATGTGGCAACCTCTCCTAACTTCATCAATCTTCCCACGGGGCTATTTTTACCCCAGGCACTACAGTCCCTGACGACTACTCTTTCAAACACCCTCGGTTCACTTGGCTTTGGAAAAAAGGTTCTAATTGTACTCTAACATGTCCTATCTCTCCTCATTATTCAAATGCTGCTTTCCCTCCACGAGTCTGCAACTTTCTGGTCAGTGCATATTCTTAGGGTGTTAGCTACAACCTGTGACGAATTAATCTCCTGAAATGTATCTAGCTCTATTTTGAGATTTATAGTGTTCACTTGATGTCACTGTATAATTTTCATAGTAACCTCAGACTTAATACTATCAATCTAATCTGCTATTTCTGCTGTATTTCTTATGTCACATAATGACCAAGTTATGGATTTGCTGGCTCTCAGCTCCAAATTCATCCTTTCTAACTGTCCTGTTTATCTTTTCTCCTTTGCCAACTGACATTGAGGCTCTGTCATTATAAGTCACTAGAGACCGTACAGGCAGAGAATTTTGCTGTGACTGCAGTGAGCTCACGTGGCAGGCTCTGGTAGCTGTCATGGTCTTCCTTGCGCCACACTGGTCAGCACGAGAGGTAAGCTTCCTAGCAGCCTCCTTCTCTCCCCAGTATCTTGTGGTAGAGTGGCTTTGGTGAGCTGCCTCTTTATCAATACCTTTTTCCAGCATTGTTTTGCAAAGTTCTACCAGTACATCAATAACAACTTCTCTGTCACTTATTGAATAGTTACGAGGCAAAGGAATTGATACCTATTCTAGATAGGGAGTCTTTCCAATCAATGGAGCTCATGTTATAGCAGAGGACATGCAGCAATATGTCCACGTCTATTGGGTTAACTCGTTTGCTATATAAGCTATCACCCGCAAGCAGTTACATAAGTAAACAGGTAGAAAAGCTTACTGAGGATTCAGCTACATAAGGGAAGATGGAGGAAACTTTCTTTGGACTGGGTTCTGTCTCACCAGTGAGCCTAGGACACAGCAACAGTGAAGCCAGCCACCTGCATGTTCTGCACCCTTCATGACAGGAATGAACATACAAAACAGGTGGCTACTGCTGGAGGGCTGATTCTGATTATCAAGGGGAAATGGATTTCCTGAATTAAAACAAAGGAAGTCAAGACTGTGGAACTCAGTGGATTCTCTGGGGTGCACTAAAAGATAAAGATAAACCACAGAGCCCAACACAGGGCAATTGAGGGCTCACACTCCACCAGCTCTTCCAGATAAGGACAATGAGCCAGGGCGGGTGTCTGGTGCAACAGTTAAGATACTGCTTGTGAGGCCTGCCATTACACTGGAGTTCCTCACTTGAGTCTCAGCTCTCCTTTGACAGTAGATAACGGCACTAGTATGTGGGTCTTTGCTACCAATGTGGGAGACCTAGATGTAGCTGCTGCTATTTCGCTTCAACCTGCTCCAGCTCTGGTTGTTGTGCTCATTTAAGGAGTGAACCAATGGAAGATTTTTTCTCTTCCTCTCTTTGTAACTCTGTCTTCCAAATAAACAAACAAACAAACAAACAAATCTTGTACTATCCAGACTACTGACTTATTGCCTCTCAGTTTCAAATGCACCCATTTTTGATGCTCTGTGACTAAAAACAGATGCATCTGACCATGAAGTGAAGAAACGCTGCAGTATGCATCTCTACTCCCAAACAGAAGGAGCACTCCCAATTAACTGTGAAACGTATCTTGACAATAGGATGCTGAACTCTACCACCATCCATATTACAATGTCCTGACACAAAGAGCAGAATGATGGACTTGTGACTGCTGGTGAACAATGGGGAAAACAGTGGGAAGGAGGGAGAACAAGAAGAGTGGAAGGGGAAATCCCTGGGACCACGGAACTGTATTATGAAAAATAAAAATTAAAAACAAAAGCAGAAAACCAAGACCTCAGATACACTGGGCCTTTTATGTTTTTCCCTTTGGGAGCTGGCATGGGAGCTTGGTGAGTGCAGCATCAGCAGTGCAAGAGAGAAGTTCAGTTTGCTGGCTCTGGTGTGTTCACTGCTGTAGCACCTAGTTGCTGCCAGGGCTCCTCACGAGTGCCCACAGTGCCCTTGGGCACCTGTGGCAGCTCTGCTGCAGTTCTTATCAGTGCTATTTTAGACAGTGGTTTCCTACAGTTTCACTGGGGTGGTACCACAGGTGCTTCTTTGCCACGCAGAGAGCCAATGCTCTCAGTCTGGGGTGTTCAGGGAAGGGGCACATTATCCTTCCCGAGCTGAGAGACCTCTCTGTGTAGCTGCTATCCACATATTCTCTGCCATGCTGCCTAGTGCTTATTAGCCATCCACTCTTTCAATTTGTTGTTGAAAGAGTTTATGAAGGTAAGAACGCTGACAGTCATCTGCAGTCATACTCTCACTGCAGTGAGCTGGTCCAAATTAATCTTCAACTTTTATTGACTCTAATTCCTATATCCCCACAAAATTTACATTCTTTCCCTTTATTCTCTTAGTTTTGGAATCACCAGATAATACAGCAAATCTCCAACTGCTATTGTTATTTAGCATCTTTTGTCTGTCTTCTGTTGCCAGTATTTTCAAGCCCTAAGATGTTTCCAATTTATACCCAAAACTATTTGCTTAAAACACCAATTATACATTGTTCTCCTACTTAAAACTCCTCAATCCCATACTTTCAGAATCAAATTCACATTCTCCAGGCCCGGTGCAATGGTCTAGTGGCTAAAGTCCTTGCCTTGAAGTGCCAGGATCCCATATGGGCGCCGGTTCTAATCCTGGCTGCTCCACTTCCCATCCAGCTCTCTGCTTGTAGCCTGGGAAAGCAGTTGAGTATGGCCGAAAGCCTTGGGACCCTGCACCCGTATGGGAGACCCACAGGAAGTTCCTGGCTCCTGGCTTTGGATCAGCGCGGTCACTTGGGGAGTGAATCATCGGACTTAAGATCTTCCTCTCTGTCTCTCCTCTTCTCTGTATATATCTGACTTTGCAATAAAAATAAATAGTAAATCTTAAAAAAAAAATTTCACATTCCCCAACTTCCTTGTTAGCCTCCTCACCCTCACCCGAACACCAATTGTGGATTCCTTGTCCCAGTGACGGTCCTACTGGCCCTTTCTCGGGACGGCTATTTCCCAACCTCAGTAACTCACTCCCTACCTGACAGTGTACGAGGTAATCAGAGCCCTGAGCTGTCAGTCCCTAGGCCATGCAGTCATTTGCACCTTAAAGACATGTCAAGCCATTCAAGTGATGCACTTTCCACTGGAGAGCACAGAAACACCACATTTTGTGACCCTGGGTCTCTCCTCTGCTGGTCTCAGTCACAAACAATACGTCTGTCTACCAGTGATGAATGTAAACATACATGGCTTTAAGGGTCTCTTACCTCCAGAAAGGTCCATCTTATTGCTCTGTACATTTTCTTCTGGTGAGTCTCTCTGAAGAAACAACCAACCAAGTTAGCAGACGTTTATCAATGGGACCCCCCCCGCCAAAAAGAATTTCATCATATATCATTATCTCTGAAATTCAGGGGAATCATGAAGCTCTATTTTTTTTACTGCTTCATGTAAAAACTACCAAAATTTCACATAAGACCAAGGATCTAAGTACTTAACTTAAAAATGGTAAAAATAAAGGAGTAAAGGTCAATTTAACTTTAAGGATATTTATCAAGAATAATATTTTTTTTAAAAGAGCAAATTAAAAAAAAAAAAAAAGAAAGAAAGAAATTGGGATAACCTATAGCACTCGTTATAAAGAGAGAGAGAAACCTACTCACCGAAAAACTGATATTTGAAAACTGTTTAACAAACGGATTTATCCATGCGTCGTCTTGTTTGTTTCCACCTTTCATCATTCCCTTTGTAAAATAACAGAGTAGAAAGATGCCATGGCCATCTCTATTTATCTGGGTATAGCGATGGGTTCATAAAACTTCAAGACAATTCCCAACTTTCATTTTTTTTAGTCAATAATTTCTCCTCCAAACAACTCTTACCAGAGTTGCTAACAATTAAAAAAGATAATCAACTGATTTGATTTTCAACTTCCTTTGCTCCAGTCCTCTGGTATAGCTGCAATGCATAGAGAAGTATCTAAAGGCAAGCAGTCAGAAGGAAGAGGCAGCAGCAAGGGCCTTGACGACCACTCCAAGGAAAAAGGGTCTCTAAAAAACCGACAACTCTGACCAGGCAGTTCCCAATATACAAATAGATTGTGTTTTGCAAATTTGGATTCTGGGAATTTCCACTTCAAATCAATGTAAAAAACTAATGATTGGCTCTCAATTTAGTCCAAGGAAACTGAGGTAGCCCATATTGTTATGCGCTACGAAAAAAGGAAAACAAATTAGGCCCCACCTCCCCAATCAAGTGTTTCCATGTGTAAAAAATTTTAAATGTCAGTCCCTGCTGCCAAGAACACAACACTTTGAGCAGCGGTTGAAGCTGTAATCCTGCGTAGTGTTGATTTTCTGTGGCAGGCTGGCAAATGGGAAATAGAGAAACTCGACAAGAACTGATAGACTGAAGAGCCAAGTGGCCAGCGGCGTTAGCTGGGAGTCAGGGACACATTTCCCGCAGTGAGCCAGAGGTCACAGGGCCATTCTCCGCTGCCTTAACTTCCCTTTCCCATTGCTGCTACCTGTTCCTCTGACTGTGAAAAGGAACATAGCTTCATAATTTCCCCCCTAAAAGCAGGTCTCTGAAGCAAGCAACTAACCCTCTCCAAGGCTGCTCAAGTCTTCTTTGATTCCTTCCTCTTTCAGTCCCACCCCATGTTCTAACGGCCAAGTCTTTCCCATCTACTCTGCAACCTCTCAAATTGGTCCTGTTAACTACGTATTCACTCTTGCTACTTAATTTACAACCTCCTTTCTAGCTTGAATCAATGTACAAGCTTCTTAACCTAGATCCCTAACTCTGGCCTCTCCCTTGCTCCTATTTGCATTTTATACTCACAATGGTTAATTTTTCCAGTCTCTTACAAGAACCTCACTGGCCTTGCCTTTTCACTGCCTCCATGTCTCACACAGGACAAAATTCAAATTCTTTTGACATACTACTGAAAACACTTTAAAATCCATCCCTAACCTAGCTACAGACACCACTTGTTATTCTTTCCACAAATTCCACATGTTAGTTGGGCTACTATTTTCCTGATCAATTCCCAACCCCCCAGGCATCTTTCACACTTGAACTGATACTCTTCTGATGCTCTCCTAAGGCCCCCAGTGAGATCATGAGCTCCCTGAAGGCGTAGCTCACTGCACTACATCTCAATCCCCAGCACCAAGCACAGTACCTGGCACACAGCAGAGGCTAAATAAATGTTTGCAGTTGCTTTCTAAAGATTTTTACTAGTAGAAACAAAGGAGAAAGAGTAAAAAGGCTACACACCCTTTCCCTTCTCCTTTTTTTGCCACTCAGACCCTGTAAGGAAAGACAAAGTCACAAAACAGCATGGTCCAGTGGGAAGAACACAGGGTTTGGAATTGGAAGACCTAAACTTAACTCCTTGCTCTGTCACTTTGGGCAAGTCACCACCTTTTCCACTCTCATACTCCTCATCACTGTTCTATCTTAGAAGATTATGAGGATCAAATGATTTATGTAAAACATGTAAAAGCACTTCAAAAGCTACATGACAAGGCAATAGGTAAATTCAGCCAAATGAACAATTTAAAAAATGAAAATGGCAGGTCCTGGACTTAGCATCCCAGGATTAAAAGTGGGGGACCTTGGCAGTCAGCCAGTCCAGCAACCTACTGGATACCTGACTTCTAAGGTGCCTCTAAATAAGGGTAGGGAGGCTACATTAGAATCACTTGGGGTAGCAGACACATACCACCATCACCAGTCCTCCAGTACCCTCTCTTCAGAACCAATGCTCTAAAGCAGTGGTTCCCACACCTGGCTCTCCATCACTTATTTGGGGAGCCTACCGAGGACAGGAAACTTGGTACCATTTCTAATAATCCAGCAGCTTGTGTGTAAAGAAGTTACACTTTTAACAACCGTCATAAGATTTTGACAGCAAAGTTAGGGAATACAACTTGTCCATCCATAAAAGCAAAATCAAGGATTTTTTGTCACAGGACCTTGTAGGATGGGGAAGATGCAAAAGCAGCAGATGAATACGGAACATGGCGACTCCAGGTAAAGGGGAGCTCAGGGACTCCAGTGGAAGGGGTGGGATGGGAAATGAATCGGCAGTGGGATGAAACATGTTCACATGGAGATTTGCCCTTCTCTTCATCCTCACCGCTGCAGGTGCCACCCTGAGGTGAGGGACCGTCCCAGGCAGCAGTGGTGGAGGAGGAGGAGGAGGAGAAACCCCAAGCTGTAGCAGTGGGGAGAAAGGAAGTTCCTGTGGTCTTGTTTTTCTAGGTGGCTGCCCACACAAGAGGCTACACTACGTTGGGGACTGACTGCACCGTCCTGATTGCCATAAAAACGGGCAGGCGGAAGGTTAATCTATGGGTAAACTACCTTTGGAATTTAAAGCTTCAAGGGCTTTGCCCTTGAACTGTTTACCTTCGATGACATTTTCTTTGTATATGGTGGCCAATTTAAAGATGAGTTGAGCTCTTGAGATGAATTACTATTCCACATTCCAATTTCGACATCCTCTTCCTCTTCCCAGCCAGTGGGGCGATTTCCAGGCAGCGGCATATCCTCACCACACCAGCCATCTTGCATAGATTTTGGCCCTGATTTGTGACACAGAGAGAAACATACTTCAATAAGACAATTCTTTCTGAAAGACAAGCACACATTAAAAAGCGGGAGAAACAAAACAGACTATTTTTAAATTTCCCTTCTCAAATTTGCATAGTGCAAATTTACAGTTTAAGTTGAGTTAAAAGTGTCATTTAAAAATAATATATTTAAAAATTGGAGCCAGGCCAGGGACTGGCTCCAAAGTGTGGCAGACTAAACCTCCACTGGAGACTCCCAACATTCCATAAGGGCACTGGTTTGCGTCCCAATTACTTCACTTCTGATTTAGCTTCCTGATTCCACGCTTGAGAGATCAGCAGACGGCCCACGTGCTTGGGCCTCCGCACCCACGCAGGAGGCACAGAAGCAACATCTGATGCCTGGCTTTAGATCGGCCCAGCTTCAGCCTCTGTGGACATTTGGGGAGTGAACCAGAGGATGCTAGATGGGCCTCCTCTTTGTAACTCTGTCTTCCAAATAAGAATAAACTTTATATATATATATATATGTATTTCTCCCCCCTTTTCAGGGCCAGCAATGTGGTACAGCAGGCTAAGCTACTGTTGAAATGTCAGAGTCTCACAGCATGCTGTATCAAATCCCAGCTGCTCCACTGCCAATGTGCTTAGGGGGAAAATGACCCAAGCATCTGGTCCCAATTCACACGGCAGATGTGGAAACAGCTCCTTGCTCCCAGGTACATGTTCATTTAACCTACAGATTAAGCCCCAGCTTGTAGTTATTTGGGATGAATCCCTGTAACTCTTTCAAATAAGTACATAAAATATTTTCAAAAAATTCAATAAAAACCTTTCATGTTTTTATAAATCAGAGGATTCTTAAACACAGACATTACTAAGTACTCACTTAGTAAATTGTATAGTGACTCACTTGACAAAATGGATAAAAGAAATTTTGAAACAATCAGAACAGGCAAGTTTTTTTTTTTTTAAATACAAATGGTAGCCAACACGTATTAAAAAGTCAGAAGCAGAAAACTACCGCATCTGTACCTATGGGTCTGGATTTCCACGGGGTAGCTTTTCTGTCTCATCTCATGGGACAGTGACATATGGATCTAAATGCAGGGGTTGTACCTGAGCCACGCTAATTTTCTGCATAAAGGTTTAGAAGGTCATCTGATGGTCTGGATATATAACCCCATGGTTCTGCTATTCACGCTCAGTCTAGACAGAATAAAAGCTGCTAGACTATATTTGGTAAACTATAGTTTAGATGTGGTAAGATGCAAATCGTTATTATTCATGGTTATAAAAAAATGAAAAAAGACAATTCAGAAAGATTAAAAACATTAAGGTATGGCATACTGTATGAATTCATTATCAACAACAGAAACATCAGCTAATCATGACCAATAAGTGATCAGCACTGCTATAGAACAGGCACCGGTGATTGTCAATAACTTACCAGATTTGTTTAATGCTTGTGGACCAACAGAGCTGGAGCCCCACGTGGATGCGCTGGATGCTGCAGCAATCGGCTCCCCCCAGCTGGGACCACTGTCTATGGGTTTCCCCCATGCTGAAGTTCCATTATCCACAGTTGTGGCTGGAGTAGAAGGCTCCCCCCAGGGCTCACCCCAGCCTTTAGAAAGTACAGGAAAAGAAGTGATGAGCACAGATGACAGGCAGATCCAGTGCAACAAAAGACAAAGAAGAATACTTAGGTAACCAAGGGTAAAACATTTCATGTTTATGTATTGACTTGAATAATAATGATATTGCTATATATGTAAAGCATATGACATGTCTTATATAAAGAAAACAAATCATTGCTTAAATTCTGAAAAAGTCATCTTTTTGAACCAAGCCTAGTGAACCGAGACACATCATGAACATGTGTAAAATACTATGTAGATAAAATTTTTACCTAAGGTGTAACTGTACTGAAAAAACAATTCTACTCTTAGATGTGCTGGGAAATGCTTATTGAAAATAAGCCCCAGGCCGAGTTGTCTAAGGGGGTGGGGCAGAGGGACTCAAAGCCACAGTTTTGTTTAAAACTATCAAACAGGTGGTTTCTGCTCACGTTGTCTGTTTCACCCTCAGATTAAGGCTAAAACGCTGTCAAGCACGACGTCAACTCTAAGTGCAATTGGGTGCTAAAGGTTAATTCATGAAAACTACATCTACAATAAATCAATGCATGTCAATTATACTTCATGAAAATATTGCTAAGACAATCTGCAAAACAAGGGAATTAGTTCATTATCAGAGAGGAAAGTAGGGATTTATTGAAAAGATATTGTCAGACTTGGTATAACCTGCAGAATGGCCCAAGTCCCTCAAGCTATGAGGGACACTGAAAGACATCCTGGCTTCTGGCTTTCAACCGGCCCCGTTCAGAACCATTTGGGAGGTGAACCAGTACAGGTACATCTCTCTCTGCAACTCTTGCAAAACAAACTTATATTACTGAGAAAAGTTAACATTCCAAACTGCCCACTGTGTGAGTTTTCCTAATAGTGAAATGCAGCACGCAAAATTCACAACCTTGCTCATCAACTCTCTCTATGACTTACCTCAAACTTTTCTATATTAGCGTCAATGAGGCCTGTGTGTACAAATCGGTCTAATTTGTTAAACAACATTTGAAGTCACAGTACGCTGGAAACAAGCCCACTTTCTGAATGTCATGAAGCACCCTGTGATGCCATCCGACTGGACAGAGCTGGACTTACCGGAGCCACTGCTCGCCTCTTTGTTTGAGATGGCACTTGCAGATGGCAGCAGCTGATGCACCGGTGCTGGCTGGTCTGAACGGCTGCTGCCATTCGGGACGTTTTTGTTCCACATGTTCACATTTTTGTAGTTGTACTTGCTCGGGTCTCCCCAAGCCGAAGTTCCATCGTCGATCTCCATTTTGCGTCGTATAGATTCTGGGGATGGTTCCTCCCAGCCTGTGGGCTCTTCTTCTTTTGCTGGAGCTGGGATGGGTCCCCCCAGCCAGCCTGTCCCAGGCGGCTTGCTGGGAGCTGGCGGGATGCCCCAGGAGCCGACAAGGTCTTGTTGCTTGTTCCAGTCGGGAGAAGTGACTGGCTTGGATGAATCTCCCCAACCTAGAGACTGAGCAGACTTTGGAGGGTCTCCCCACCCAGGGGAGGGACTAGGTTTACAAGATTCATCCCATCCTGACGAGTTATTTGGATTTATGTTATTTCCCCAAGTGAAAGAACTTGTTTTACCCAGTTCATTCCAACCAGAGACGGATCTGTCACTGTCACTCCCTCCTGAGCTGGATTTCTTATTGGCCTCTCCCCAATGGTTACTCCTACAAGTTTCTCCCCAGTTATCACTGGCAGAAACAGACCAACCTTGGTTTGATTTTTGTCCATCACCCCATCCCTGTTTGTTCTTTTGCGAATCATTCCAAGCGGACTTCTCTTCTTTGCAGTTCCCCCATTGATTGCTCTTGATCATTCCTGTAGCAGCAGACGAATCGTCCTCCCACCCCCCTTGGCAGTTTGAGCCTTTGGAATCTCCCCACCGCAGGGCAGGTTTGGGATCGCCCCAGCCCGATACAGATGAGGTATCATTACTATTAGGGCTAGTCTTATCTGTACACGCCCCTGAGTTAAAAGTCTGTGTTGCAGAGCTTCCCCAGGCCTCTGTCCCATTGTCAGTCTTTCTTTCCCCTCTGGGTGATGTTTCAGTATCCCAGGCAGTATTCTGCTTAATAGGTGTTTGTCCCCAACCGGAGTTGGACAGGACACGTGGATCTAAGTCAGTTCTGTTTACAATGCTTTGGAGTAAGGTGTGCTGATCCATTTTCCTTCTATCTCTACTCTGACTTTCCCCAGTTACTTTCTCTTCAAGGCGTCCAGTGCTTTCTGTACTACCGTCGCTCTCTACTGCACCCCCTGTTTTGGCCCAGACACTGTTTTGCTCACTTGTCTGAGATGTGGCAGAACCCTGATCCTCTTCCTCAGTAGATTTCCATCCATTTGTAAACTTCTTACCGTTGCCATTTGCACTGTCATTGGAATGCTGATTGCTAGGCAGTTTGTTCCACTCAACACTGGGTATATTAGTGCCAGTATTCTGTGCCGGGGTTCCCCATCCTCTTCGACTTCCTCCAGAATTCGCACCATTTCCACTTCCCCATGACGTGCTCTGGGAATTCGCTGCCCCAGACTCCCACACTCCTCCTCCTCCTTTATTTGTGTTAACTTGAAAGTTAGTGCCCATGGGCCCATTCATGCCAGGCTGCATTAGAGTTGCATTCACAGTGTCACCATTAGCTTGGCCGTTAGGGCCTGAACATTTGTCTCCAGAGTAATTAGAACCATAGGCACCCCATGTAGTACCATAAGAGCCTCCACTTTTGGACTCTCCATTGCTAAGATGAGACAGGGAAGTGCCATTCATAACTGACGGAGCCTGTATCTGAGGATGATTCATTGTGCTCACGCGCCAGGCCCCTGTATTACTACTAGGCAGTTCATTATTCTGTACTGAACCGGAGTTTGGTAAACTAGAGGTCATAAAGTTAGTAGTGTTATTTGGTCCAGTCATTTCAGTGGTAATATTTTGAGGTTGACCACTGAATGAAACCTTCTGTGTACCACTTACTTCAGTTTCACAAGTTTCCTGAAGGCTTCCCCAGGTACCATGGGTAGAAGAACCACTCGCTTTAGAGTTAATACTCTGATTGTTAGGCATCTGGCCTATGGTACTGCACTGAATATTGATGCCAGAACTACCGCTCCCTACAGGCCCTTTTAGGGCAAGTCCATTGTTCTCTAATACTGGCCAGGCACCATGGTTGCTAGCTGAATTCAAAGTGCTTGGATTTAACCCTCCATTTGATGAAGAACTTACAGTGCCCCAAGCATTCATTCTATTGTTGCTACTGTCAGACTTGCTTTCAGGAGCATCCACAGAGACCTGACATGTGCTTATTATGGCTCCATGGGGAAAGCCCCACGGCCCAGTACTACTTCCGTGGCCTGCATTATTGCTGCTGCTGCTGCTGCCGCTGCCGCCAACCACAAACTTGTTTTGAGAACCAAGTCCAGCGCTATTCCGGAGGCCATCTTTTTCACCACCTGTGCTCCCTGAAGCCATGATAGTGATGTTTCTCTCGGATTCAGAACTGGAGGCACAAGCAGCATCCATGCATTCTGAAGCCAACTCAGGATCACTGCCAGAGACGGAGGGCCATGCTTCTTTGTCTGACAAGTCGTTTACAACAGCATTCTTACAGTTTGTGCTAGAGTCACTTGCAGAAGACAGAGGTCCCCGCTGGGAATTTTCATACTGGGATCCTGAAGTGTTGTGGTTGATATCTAGAATAAAAGTTGAAGTACAGTTATTTATATAAAGTGCTGTCAATTTCCAGGATGACACTAAACAGTTCTTTGCAAAAGGGTGAATATATTATCATCGTCTATAGCTCCTCATTTAAAGGGAAATGCTACACAGATCCTGCGGTTATAAGGGCACCACAGACTGTCTTCTAACCATCAACATTCCACATCCAGTAACTGCACACAGGCTGAGAGGTTTGCTTTGGTCACCGATGTTATCCTAAGGCCCTACAGCAGTGTCTGCAATGTGAGACTTCCTCAGTTATCATCTGCTGCACATGAAAATTATGAACACAATGATGAGTGGGTTTGTGCCCCACACTTGGTGGGGCACAGTTTGGGACAGAAAGGTGATCTGGGCACAGGGACCTGACAAGGAGCACAGCAGGTGAGGACGTAGGATTATGAGCATGCGTACAGAGCCCAGGTTTGCTGGAATGCATCAAGAATCCTTTTTGCATCCTCCACATCTGGAGTAGTTTTTCGACACTAACTGCTTTGGGTAGTGCTATAAGTCTGCGAGAATTCCAGAAGGCTCTTCCATTTCATCAGTCTCCATAAGTCATCTGAAGTATTGTGTAAAAGCAAGAATATTTTTGATTCTTCCATTAAAATTTCTTCATTGACTTTCCTTTTTTTTTTTTTTTTTAAATTAAAAAAGACAATTGCTGGGCCCAGCATGGTAGCTTAGGGCCTAAAGTCCTTGCCTTGCATGTGCCAGGATTCATATGAGCACCGGTTCTAATCCCAGCGGCTCCACTTCCCATCCAGCTCCCTGCTTGTGGCCTGGGAAAGCAGAGGAGGACAGCCCCAGTGCCTTGGGACCCTGCACCCTGCACCTGTGTGGGAGACCCGGAAGAAGCTCTTGGCTTTGGGTCGGTGCAGCTCTAGCTGTTGTGGCCACTTGGGGAGTGAATCAATGGATGGAAGATCTTCCCCTCTGTCTTTCCTCCATTGTATATCTGACTTTACAATTAAAAATACATTAATATTGAAAAGAAAAAACCTGCTATGATTAAAGAAAAAAAACAAAACAAAACACTGAAGACTATTAATGACCACCCATGTAACTACAATCTTAGACAAAAATCTAGACTTCTAACCTAGATTTTTCTTTCTCATTGTGTTTAAGGATCTGGCAGCTAGAACGTCCTCAGAAACACTGAACTACATAAGGTGCTCGCAATTGCTGTCTGGAGGAAGGTGCCTGTACTGCATAAGAGTCAGAATGGAATGCTCCAATAGGACCCAGACCTACCGAATCTCCAGGGACAAAGACTTAGAAAATCACAGCTACTAGCAGCAATGGATGCCAAAAGAGGAAATAGATTTAATTTGCATATTTTCTCTTGAAGCACAATTGTTAAGTAATAAAAGATAATAAGCTAGATATAGGAGGAAAAAGGTACAGAAGAGAAACCAGAAATTTGTACATAATTTACCAAGTAGTTATTTTTAAAGCTCCATTGGTGACATTTACATTCTCCACTTAAGAGTCACTCTTTTAAAACAAAATAGAGTCACTCTTTTAGGTTGCTATAAATATTTATCACAGAACAAAGAATACCAATGGGGCCCGGCGCGGTGGCGCAAGTGGTTAAAGGTCCTCGCCTTGCACGCCCGGGATCCCATATGGCCGCCGGTTCTAATCCCGGCAGCCCCTCTTCCCTTCCAGCTCCCCGCCTGTGGCCTGGGAAAGCAGTTGAGGACGGCCCAAAGCCTTGGGACCCTGCACCCGTGTGGGAGACCCGGAAGAGGCTCCTGGCTTCGGATCGGCATAGCATCGGCCGTTGCGCTCACTTGGGGAGTGAATCATCGTACGGAAGATCTTCCTCTCTGTCTCTCCTCTCTGTATATCTTCCAATAAGAAAAAAAAAACAATAATAAAAATAAAATCTTAAAAAAAAGGTGTTTATAAAAAAAAAAAAAAAAAAACAAAGAATACCAATGAGCTAGCCATAAATCTACACAGCCACAGCTGCACCAGCACCAGTAAATGTGACATTTAACACTGAGCACTGGTGCCCGCAGCACTGAACCCTAGAGCTGAGACGCTGGCAGCACTGTGCAGATGGGTTCACACGCCGTGACGGGGAGGACTCATCCAAAAGCATTCATACAGCAAGGTGGCCGAGAACCTGACAGGGAGGCTAGAGACTTCTACACTCACACCTGGACTCCATGCATAGCACCATATGGCCAAGTCTGCAAAACGGACACAAACACTACTTCCTAACACGGCTGGCTTGTCGATGAGCCCAGCGTAAGTAAAGCGTTTAGCTTCAGGCGGGCAGCAGATGAGTGTTTCCTCAAGGGCAGGGTGCTGTTGGGACTAAGGTTCAGACGCTGGAGCTAGACTGCTGACGCTGCGGACACACTCTCTCACTGATTCACTAGGAGGCCCTCTTGTGCCTCAGTTTCCTCATCTTTAAGGCAGGAACAACAAAAACCACCAAATGCACGTAACGGTGAGGATGAAGCGATCAATTAATCCAAGTGCTCTGAACCCTACCTGGTCCACAACAGGTGAATGCCAGCAGTTACCACCACTTTCCAGCCTCCCCTCCAAAGCACATATGCCCTTCATGCCAGCAGGAAGAATGTTTGAGAAACCACGGAAGAGAAGTTGTGTTTACATAAAATCATCCCTTGATTGCCTCAAACAGAATGCTATTTACTCGACTTATACAGAGAAAACTCTCCCTGAAGAGCTACTACTGTTTATTTCAGTAAACTTCCTAAAATCCAACATTTTCCCCTTTATTCCTCACTGCACAGTACATCAACACCCCAAATTGACACACTTCTCCCGCAAATCTTAAACACCATAGCCAGCAGCATCACTGTACTCTCCTGGAAAAGTACTTATGCTGCCATTCTTTGTGCATGTGTGAGTATGCTCCTATTTTCATAAGGCAGGAATAGGAAGGTAAAATTGGCTAGGGCTGGAGTGGAAGTGTAGCAAGTAAAGTGGCCAGTGTGATGCTCACTGCACGTCCCCGCCGGCCTACTTTCTAGCTCCCCACTAGAATGGCCTGGGACTAGCAGTAGAAGATGGTCCAAGTGTTTGGGCCCCGTCGTGCACACACTGGAGCTCTGAACCATGTTCCTGACTCCCTACTCTGACCTGCCCACTGTCGCTGGCCATCTGGGAGTGCTCTCTTTCTGCAGTGCTCTCAAAAACAAACATGTGTCTCCAACACCATCATCCAACCTGTGCTTGAAATATTAACCAACGATATATGACCCAACCAAGACACAGACAAAATCGACATGTAAAAAATAATCGCCTTCTGCTACACCAGGGATAGCCAGTGAGAAAAATAAGATTATAATCATCAGTGGCCTTAAGAGAACTTGAAATAAAGTTAACAGAAATGTAAGTCTTATATGACTGTGTTTCACTGCAGTGTAAAGAGGACAATTTAATTACAGAAATTTGTTTCTTCACAAGAATATGTACTGATAAACTTCCTAAGTATAACCCATTTATAAGAAATCATTGGTAAAAGCCTGCAATATCGTTAAGAGTCACTTTAAAATTTAAGAAAAAAAAAATAGGATAACCCTATCAGAAAATAAGAGCTTATCAGAAAATGACCCTGGATTATCACCCACTGGTATTAAACAGCACTGTACTCTCAGAGCAGAGAAACGACTCAACTGACAAGAGAAAACAACGCCAGCCAGACCCCAGAAAAGTCAAAGACAACAAATATTTCAAGGATTAGCAAAGGAAAAGAAATGCTCATGACTGGAAAAAAATACTTTCAAAAATGAGATAATATACCAAAATAATGCAAAATAATTAAAGTATTCAATGCAACAGATGAAATCAAGAAGCATTTTATACATAAATTAAGTCAAAAAGGGATGATGGATTTATGTTTAAAAGTTAAGCTACTCAGTGTCAGAATCCATAGAACTGCAGAAATATAAAAACAAGGATGTACTCTGCCAGCAAGTTCCAGCACCACTAACACGAGTGAACGTTTTCAGATTCTTCTCATCATGACCTGATTGCAGGTGGTAGAGTTTAAGTTTGTTTTTTCCTGTATCTTCCTGTGTAGTTTAGGAGAAAAAGGAGCAATATCATCAGGAATTGTTAATTAGCATATCATTAAAGCTGGAAGCTAAGCGACAGATTCAAGACAACCAAAACAAAGACTAGTTCAAAAATAGGGTCACCAAGAGTGAGACACAAGGTATTCTGGGTTATAAAAACAAGTCTAATTAACAAAGAACAATTAAGGGGGTGGGACACTACCTTTACTAAAGGAGTCAAAATGACAGGATTCCCCAAACACCGTGAACAGAATGCTGCAGAGTCAAAGATGACAGCACGGAGATGGCCTACGACGTACTTCCCTTAGACACCACCAAGTACGATGCACGAACGCACAGGAGCGTCAGTAAGTAGATCCTCACTAAGCTTTCGCAGGCGATAGGAAGAAACATGAAAACTGCATATCCTTACGCGGGCGACAAGAGAGCAAGGCCGCTGAGTGTATCCACGAGTGCTGGGCGAGGCTGCAGGCAGACCAAGACATGCGAGGCTGCACATCGCTTAGGGGCTTTTTAAACTGAAGATATCACCAGCACTGACACGAAACGAGCATGCAGCGCCAGGAGCAGCCTCAGCACCACACTTCGACGGGAATACCATGTCTACACTGAGATACTGGCGAGGTCACGCAGTGCAGCCAAAGACTGGTGGTAAGTGACTCACAAGGAAACGATGTTAATTAAATTGATGAAAAATTTACATACACAGAAATTCACTCATTTCTCTTACAAAGTATAGTCTATTACAAACATGAATACACCAAATATTTGCATTCTGCTTTAAAGACTTACTAGAAGAAAGAGTTTCAAAAGTAATTAATACTGAAATTTTATAGTGTTTCCGACATTTCAGACAGTTCTCCCAGGACCACAAGAGATCCTTAAACTCAAAATTTCAAAGAGCTCTCAGCAAA